ACCAGTCAAAAGTGTGAGGACCTGTCAGAAATGACTTTTTTCAGCCCTCTGAGTAGTCCCTATACATATAGCCATGGCCACCCGATCACATGACCAGCTAGCCACGCCCACCCAGTCACATGACTTCCAAGCCACACCCACAAAATAAGCCACGCCCACAGAACCGGTAGTAAAAAAATTTAGAACCCACCCCTGGTTGGGGGTCACCACAACATGAGGAACTGTATTAAAGGGTTGCGGCATTAGGAAGGTTGAGAACCACTGATTTAGATGATACATTCCTACAGGCTTTCCTTAAATTTACTTTTTTGGTTCTATAACTTACCATTTCGTTTCACTTACCCACATAAATTATAGAGGCAGTTTTTGTTTTGTTTTTTTAATATCAAAGACAATGACAGACTGCTATGTGACATTGTATTTTACAACTGAATCACTTAGCGATGGAAATTCCAGCATCATTACCATCATTAAGAGAACAATGTACAAACTGATCTTTTTTTTTAACTTGTTTAAATTCTTTATTTTTCCCTTTATGATTTTCTTTCATTCATATATTCTGTTGCATTTGCTTGGAATTAACCATCATTAACTATAAACCTGCCTTCCCTGGGTGGGGTGGCGGGGGTGGCTTGGGAGTTCATGGCATCCATGGCGGCCATGGACCTGACTCAGATTATTCAGGGACTGACTCATGAGGGAGGGCACACACTCGATCTTGTTTTCATCTCAGAGCAGTGGCGTGTTATGTTCAGTGGGGGGGTATTTGTTGCTTCCACCCTGTCATGGACCGACCATCATCTCCTCTGGTTGGACTTCCAGAATGCTGCCCCACCTTGCTGGGATGCAGAACCGACCATCTGGTTCCTCCCCAGGCACCTGATGGACCCTGAGAGGCTCCAGACGGAGCTTGGAATGATTCCTCTCTCTCTCTCCCATGCTCTGGTCGAGACCCTGGTGGAGGCCTGGGATAGGGCAGCCGCTGGGGCTCTCAACCGTGTCATGCCTTTGAGGCCTCTGACCCGGCACAGACCCTGGCTTGCTCCTTGGTATACTGAGGAGCTTCGAGGGATGAAGCGCAGGAGGAGAGGCCTAGAGAGCCGTTGGAGGACTAGTCGTTCTGAACCTGACCGAGCCCAGCTAAGATCATTTACATGGTCTTACCTGGAGGCGATGGCAGCGGCAAAGCATACATACTTCTCTGCCCTCATCGTGTCCGCAGGTAATCTCCCGGCTGCCCTGTTCAGGGTATCCCGCTCCCTCCTGTATCACAGGGCAGGGAAGGACTCTTTGTGGGGGCAAGCTGAGGAGTTTTGCCAACATCTGTGGGACAAGACTGCTCAGATTCGGAATGGCTTGGACTCTGACTGGGCAGGGTAGGACAGTGGGGAGGCGGCAGGTCTTGTTGTTGAGAAGAGTTCGATCCTGTTACCCTGGAGGAAGTGGACAGGATCATGAGGAAGCTGGGTGTGACCACTTGCATACTGGACCTGTGTCCCTCCTGGCTGATTTATGCAGCTCGGGAGGTGACACGCAGTTGGATCCAGGAAGTGATAATGGCATCCTTGGATAGAGGGAATTTTCCCACCATCTTGAAGGAGGCGGTGGTTAGGCCCCTCCTTAAGAAACCTGCCTTGGATCCAACCATTTTGGGCAACTTTTGTCCGGTCTCCAACCTTCACTTTTTGGCGAAGGTTGTTGAGAGTGTGGTGGCATGTCAGTTTCCGGTGGCCCTGGATGAAGCAGATTGCCTCGATCCATGCCAATCGGGTTACGGGCCCGGTTACAGCATGGAGACAGCATTGGTCGCGCTGGTGGATGCTCTCTGGAGGGCTCGGGACAGGGGTCATTCCTCGGTCCTGGTCCTATTAGATCTCTCAGCGGCTTTTCCTGATGAGACTTTTGAATTTTGTCATCTATTTCCTGTTGGCATTTTTGAAATTTATCATCCAGAATTTTAGAAATAAATTCTTTTAAATCTCCCACATCAAATTCTTTTTTCTGAGTCTGTAGCTGTTGAGCAGGGGGAAGCTGCGTTTCATGTTTGTGTGTGGGGGATCCCCCCCCCCTGTTGCCTTCCCTTCCTGCTTCTTTGAAGCCATCCTGCCACGTAGTCTAGTTTTTCTAAAGAGGGAAGTTCCTTTTCCTTTCCCTCCTGCACAAAGACTTCTAAAAAAGTCCCCCAGATTTGGTCAAATAAAAGCTGAAGTAAAGCAAAGTCAAGTATTGAAAAGGGAGAAATTTTTTAGTTGTTTCTCTTATTACAAACAAGGCAACTTTGTAGCAACTTGGAAACTTTGTAACAAAGCAAGATAACTTCACCAATCCACACTCGCTGGCTCGTTAACTCTAAGGCTGAGCGCCATGTTTTTTCAAAGCACTTTCACTCATTCACATTTTTCTCAGGTTAAAAAGTCAACAAAGCGCTAATACTTGCGTTTCCAAGTTTCAGGGTTCAAGTAATTTCGCTGTTTATTAAGACTGGTTCTTTTCGCTTTGAGTTTCCTGCAGCCAGCTTGTTCTGCAGAAGCAGAATCGTCCCACGTCGCCCAGAGTTTCAGCAGGTTGGGAGGGAGCCACGCCTGTTCTCTCCCCAGAAACAATTCCCTGGGGGGTTACAGGGGCTCGACCTGTGCCCTGCGATCTCTGCTTCAGCAATCCTGAGGATTTTGAAGTTTCCGAGCTGCTTCTGGGTCGCGAAGCAGCTCTACAGGCAGCGGGGCTGGCGGAGCTTCAAAAGGCACCGCCGTCGCCGAAGACAAGGAAACCGGAAGCGGCTTTTGATACCATCTACCATGGTATCATGCTGCGACGCCTCGAGGGGTTGGGAGTGGGTGGCACCGTTTTACGGTGGTTCGCCTCCTACCTCTCAAGTCATATGCAAGCGGTGTTGGCAGGGGGGCAGAGGTCGGCCATGAGGCCCCTCACTTGCAGGGTGCCCCAGGAGTCGGTTCTCTCGCCCCTTCTGTTCAACATTTATATGAAGCCGCTGGGAGAGATCATCAATGGTTTTGGGGTGGGGTATCATCAGTACATTGATGATACCCAGCTTTTTATATCCACCCTGAACCAGCCCAGCGATGCCCTCGATGTGATGTCCCGGTGCCTGGAGGCGGTACAGATCTGGATGGGGAATAACAGGCTTCAACTTAACCCGGCCAAGACCGAGTAGCTATGGATACCTGCATCTCGGGCCGAGCGAGAGATTCCAACGCTGTCTATTGGGGGCGAGGTGTTGCCCCCCATAGACAGGGCATGCAACTTGGGCATCCTCTTGGATTTACGGCTAAGTTTGGACGGTCATATCACGGCTGTGACCAGGGGGGCATTTGCCCAGGTTCACCTGGTGAACCAATTATGCCCATACTTGGACCGAGATGCCCTACACACAGTCACTCATGCACTAGTCACCTCCCGGATTGACTACTGCAATGCTCTCTACCTGGGGCTGCCCGTGAAGACCACCCGGAGGCTTCAGCTGGCACAGAATGCGGCCGCACAGGTTGTTGTGGGAGGGACCCGATACTCCCATATTACACCACTCCTGCGCGGCTTGCATTGGTTGCTGGTTGCCCTACGGGTGAGATTCAAGGTGCTGGTGTTAACCTATAAAGCCCTTCATGGCTTAGGCCCAGGTTATTTGTCGGACCACCTGCAACCAGCATCAACTCCCCATCGCCCGGTGCGCTCTCACAGAGAGGGCCTACTCAGGCTGCCGTCGGCTAGATAATGTTGGCTGGTGACTCCCAGGGGTAGAGCCTTCTCTGTGAGCACCCCCATCCTTTGGAATCAACTTCCTTGGGGCTCCGGTTGGCCCCTGACCTTCGCACCTTCCGCCGTAAATTAAAAACCTGGCTATTTATGTCCCCTGGCCTGGACTGATGGGGTAGTATATTTTAATTTAAAAAAAAAAATTCTTGATTTTTATGTATATTCGTTGTTTTTAACAGTCGCTTGGTCGACTGCGTTGTGAGCCGCCCTGAGTCCTTGGAGATAGGGCGGCATACAAATTTTATTAAATAAATAAATAAATAAATAAATAAATAAATAAATAAATAAATAAATAATCTGGATTGCCTGTTTAAATTTAATTTTCAAAGCCTTTTAAATAAAAAACAGTGGCTAACTATGGCTAAAAGTGATTAATAGCAATATGGATAAAACAGTAAACTAGAATTAAAGTAAACTCCGGAAATAGAAGGGGATTTTTGTAAATTATGCAAGTGCGTACTTCTCAGCATGTGCCACAACTCAATGATGTTGGACTTACATAGTGTGTTTACTGTCACAAACAAATGCCCTGATTTACAACACATGCTTTTTCAAAAGGATGAACCTATATCTCCTCAGTAATAGCAATAACACTTAGACTTATATACTGCTTCATAGTGCTTAACAGCCCTCTCTAAGTGGTTTACAGAGTCAGCATATTTTCCCCAACAATCTGGATCCTCATTTTACCGACCTCGGAAGGATGGAAGGCTGAGTCAACCTTGAGCAGGTGAGAATCAAATTCCTGGAGTGAACAATGAGTTAGCCTGCAGTACTGCATTCTAACCACTGCACTGCCATGGCTCTTAGGGTCAGATGTTTAAAAGCTTTAAGAGAAAATGACAATGCTTCTGTTACAGCACTCTGGCTTCCAAAATCTGAATGTGAAACATATACAATTATTACTGAATCTGAATAAACATTTATATTCTATTCAACAGTGTTATCAGTGGCTTACTGCTGCATGGCAATAATTCTTAAAACAATGTCTGATACGTTTCCATTTGACTGTTAATGATGAAGGAAAACAATGTGGTAATCAATAGGGTGGAAAAAAGTAGACACTGCTGACAACCTGGAACAGTTCAAGTAACAAATTTGAAAGGATGTATTACTGTTTTAAATTCTCCAAACAGCCTCTAGAATACAATTGACTACTGAAAAGTGACTTAGTTCCCAATTGCCTTTCAACATTCTTTTACATTTACATGATGATAAATTATACTTACCAACTGCAGACTTTTCAGGAACATTGGCTATATAAATATCCTTCGTAAATTTGGGCTCATTGTCATTGATATCATGGATTTTAATGATAAATTCCGATTCTGGTTCCACCTGTCTTCCAGTATTTCGATCTATAGCCTTGGCACGTAACACATACAGAGACCTTTCTTCTCTGTCCAGCCTTTTTGCTGCATGAATATCTCCGGTGTTTTCATCTATAACGAATACGCTGCCAGCTCCATCTCCCGTTAATATGTATTTTAAATTTCCATCTCCTTTATCTTGGTCAGTGTGTAGCTTTAAGAAAATAAAAAGAAAGAGACAGAGAGAGTGAGTGTGAGAGAGCACATTTTATAAATAGATGCATTGTTATTAAAGAGAATCTATTTCAGCAGATATGAATAGGACTCCACAAAACTTTTGTGTAATTGAGGTCAGCAGTGGTTATCATCTCTTTCATTGATGGAGAAATAAAGAGACAAAACTTAAGATTTTGGTCACACAAAGAAAATACTTTAGCAAATGGATAAAGGACAAAGAACGTATAGAAGGTAAGATTACTGCAGTAAAACTAAAGTGAGATGGAAAATGGAAAATAGTTTCTTTCCCAGGTTGACTTGTAACCAACAGAGTTTTTAAACAGAAAACCATCCTGTTGATAGCAATTAATAACCTTTCTACTGTTTAAGTATATTGTCAATAGCTATATTGTTTTTCCGAATCATTATGTGTGTGAAGGTATTTCTTTTTAAATGAGGTGAAGTGTTTCTTTTTAAATAAGTAATGAAGAAAAGAAAATATAACAATAAAAAACTTGCCTACTTAAAATCAAATGCAGAAAATCCAGTCCAGAATCCTGCTAAAAAAAAATTGAAATATAACACAGTGCAAGTTACCTTTTGAAAACCTCAAATGTAAAGGTCCCTTGGATATGGAGAACTAATGAATAATAGTAATGAGATGAGATTTATAACAATGGTCAAAATAGCCAAGGTTTCGGGAACAATCTGACAATCCAAACTCCCCTCCTTTTGTATGTGATAATGTGTGCACAAAAGAGTTGTGGTAAAAAAAAAAAAGGAGTATAATTCATATTTTAATATAAAAATTTTGAAAATGGATACCCTGTTTTCCCCAAAATAATAAGCCCAATCGGGCTTTTGAGTGCATGGCAATAAGGCCGAGCGCTTATTTCAGGGTTCAAAAAAATATAAGTCAAGGTCTTATTTTCGAGGAAACATGGTATAAAAATGAAACCATAACTTTTGGTGCTTATCAGCCTTATCCCGAAGGACTGTGGCAGACTTCTGTCGGACTCTTTACAAACTATTTGTGACTCATTACGGGCTGTGAATGAACATAATTCACAGCCGTTGAAATAAAAAGAGGTTTTTTGAGACTAATCATCTGCTTTTTACTGTCTCAGGAAGCCTAGGTCAGAAAAATAAGCTGACACTTATCTGTTGTACATTTATTTGATGCACTTGGTAGTTGTATATTTACTGTCAGAGACAGAGTATTCTGAGTTTATACTTTAATGTATTTCATTATATTGCCTCACATAAAGGGATTGTTTTTGTTAAAAGAATATATGAAGAAATAGGCATTATTAGATTGAAAAATATATTTCATCTGAAACCTTGAGATTCTCTATTCCCTTGCAAATTTCTGTCACAGCTGCTGTCTAAGAGCTACGAAAGGGGGAAAAAAACCATCTGCAATATTTGATATTTCAGCTAAAACTATCCTGAAATTTTCCCTCAGTTGTTTCCTCAGTTGTTTTCTTCCCTGAAAAAGAATATTTTGTTTTTCTACCATATTCTCAGAGTCCCAAGGGTTAATTTTAATTCCTCTTAATGCTGTTCTGGAGCTTATTTTATTGTTGGAAGCAGTAGAGGGAGCTAATGCAGAATCTGTTGCTCTCTGTTGCTCAATTTTTCATTATTCTGAAGTCTGTGCAGCTGCTTGAAATTCCTAATTGTACAAAAAATCCTTATGATGTTTTCTTCTAATGTTTAAGTTTAATGTTTAAGTAAATCGTAGGACATAAGGAAGGCAGCAAGCCAGTGGAGAGATGATTGTATACTGTAATACAGGCCATTTAATGAATGTCAATCAAACTCTGTCCTTCTTATCAGATGAAATTTGATTGAATGGGCCAGTCTGAGAATTTCTGCTCTGGGTAGCAGGTTGGGTTAAAAGACCACCAAGGTCCCCCCCAACCCTAAAATTTCACTTTATATTAATTCCTATTTAATATAGAAATATATTAGGAACATATAAGAGCCTTGGTAGTACAGTGGTCTAAAGCACCCTGTTATTAAGACCAGCTGCCTGCAATTACTGCAGGTTCGAATCTCGCCAGGCTCCAGGTTGACTCAGCCTTCCATCCTTTCTAAGGTAGGTAAATTGAGGACCCAGTTGTGGGGGCAATAAGCTGACTTTGTATAAATATACAAAAGGATGAAGGCTATTGCTTAGCACATTGTAAGCCACCCTGAGTCTCCGGAGAAGGGCAGCATATAAATCAAATTTAAAAAAAATAAAATAAAAAATATCTAGATGATTGGGGTCATCTATCAACACAGGGTTTACTATAATCAGTTTGCTGATGATATACATCTTTACATCTCTACCTCAGTCTAAATAGACTGCAAAATATATTTTGTTGGATTCATCCAAGTGAGGAGGACATTACTTCTCCTTTGCACTATCAAAATGTGGGGCTCAAACTAGACAGCAATGCTTGAGCTGACACAAGTTTAAAAAAATACTGTTCTCAGTGTGAAGCAGAACTGTCCACTGCAAATACAACTTCTTCCCATATTTTCCTGCTTCACATTGAAAGTATGTCAGCTCAAGCATTGCTGTCTAGTTTGAGGCCCACTGAGGCCACTAATGCCGTTCAAAAATGGTTTGCAGCCCATACTAACAATTATGTACTCTGACACAGTAAATGTGTCCATAATCCAAAATAAGGCTAAGCAAGAAATCATAACATAAAATGTTTGAACTTGCATTGTGACAATCTGCAATTTTCATGATTTTCTGTTATTCATTCTCTCTCTCTCTCTCTCTCTCTCTCTCTCTCTCTCTCTCTCTCTCACACACACACACACACACACACACACACACAGAGAGAGAGAGAGAGGGGGGGAGGGGGGGTGTTGCCAAACAAATCTTTCTTAGCTGATAGCATCTCCAGAAACAAAACACATAGTAAAATTCCCCATAAGAAAAGGGGGATTCTGCTCTGCTGGCAAGAAAGGAGGGAAAACTGTAAACATAAAGGAAAGGCAGACAAACAAACATGAATTGTAGACAGCACTGATTGCTGATGGCTTTTCATTAGTTCCAGGAGAGGTCAGGGAAAGACTTTTGAAGTCATTATGAGTGGAAGGTCCAAAGAACCCACTAATGGAATATCCAATACAAATGACTACTGTGAAAGCCACAAAAGAAGAGGAAGTCCATATACTGTCAGCCAGAAAAAGAGACTAACAGCCCACCAGAGAATGCCAGTCAACATAATTAACCCCTTTATTTACTCCCCTCATAGAGAAAATCTATCTATAGGCTGTCTAAGATTCAATAATCACTTGGTGGCACATAATCAACCAACCAATCAATCAATCACTTATTTGCAAATAGGAAGTAAGAAGGGAAATTAGAATAGAAATACCTCCATTTACTCCATGCTCTGGCTACACATGTATTCAGTGGGGGAATTATCTCACTTTAGAACCAGAAAAGTTTTATGGTAACATACTTTTTTCTCAAAGATGAGTGAATATTATTTTAACAGCCAAGGGGAAAAGCTTCAAGCAATTCTTCACCATGATGAAGCAGACATTCATGCCTCTGGAAGGTTAAGCACCACATCAAAATGGATTTCAGCAGAACTGCAAACCTAGTCTGCAGCCAAACTCTTGCTTTGCTAACAGGAAGAGGAGGGATTGTTCTACTCATGCAATGATTAAGGTACAACTGTTTTTGATCTACATTCTTTTCTAATTCCTTTATGGTTATCCTCCTTCAATAGCCTCTGTAAGTTAATTTTTAAAGCTATGCCTACAAGTAGAGCTGATTTCAAGTTTTGAGTTTAGCACTCTCTGTCTATCAAAGAGAATACTAGTTGTGTCTTCACAAGCTTTCCTGTCTCTCTTCCTTTACTTGAAACAAAATTATTTGTTTGTCATTGTGCTTTCCTCCTTCCCTTCCTCCTTTCAGGACCAGCTGACTTCACAAAGACTATGGGTAACTTCAGTAGTAGGTTCCACTTACCTTCGCTACCAGTTCGGAACCGGTTGTTTCACTTGTATGTGGTGCTTCTGCGCATGCGCAGAGTATCCATGATGACATCCGGGCGGGTAGGCAGAGCCTCCCGCCACCACCACTACCGGTTTGCCCAAACTGGGGTGAACCGGTAGAAACCCATCACTGGGTAGCTTACAAAATATCAAATGTATAATTAAAATACTATTAAAAATACTATTAAAAACATACTATAAAAAACCGTGACTACCCAGAGAAAACAACAACATTCAAAAAACATAACTAGGTGTCAATCGGTTTCCAGAATCTTTGCAGGGTAAAAACCATATCTATCTTAGAGGGACTGCTATTTCAGAAGGTTGCAATAAAGGGAAAGAGATTTAAATACAAAATATGCTGCACTGATTTTGGTTCCAGAGATTTTCCAGAGTACTGACTTTATTCTAGCTTCAAATTAAGTGGCATCTCCTTTTAAACACTCTTCTCAAACTATATTTTTCCAGTTACTGTTTCGCTTTCTCCCACTGCTACAGTGGTCACTTACAAACATTACAGATAATCCTCAATTTACAACCATAACTGAGCCCCAAAATTATGGCTGTAAGTCAATGAAAGTCAGTAACTTTATTTTCTACCACCTGTCTTACAAGAAAGTCACCAGACTGCTTCCCTTCCCCTGGGAAGGTGCACCTGTGCAAGAATTCCAAGCTATGCCCTGACTTGACCCCTCCTTTCAGCTTGGTTATCAGTTGCCCAGAATCATGGTCACATGACTGTGGGATATTGCAAACAGCCATAAAGGTGAGCTGGTTACTAAGTGTCCAAAACACGATCACAGGACTGCAGGGCTATGTGGGTGGCCACTATCACTTCAAAATCATATTATAAGTAGCTTTGGGGGGAGGAGGTGTCTGTTGTGGCTTCAAACAGTTGCTAAGCAGTAAGTTCTAAGCTGAGGAATGCCTGCATTGCATTTCTTCTCCAGTTATATCCAGCTGATCAAAGACACTTAATTGTATATT